ATGCTATCCAGGAAGTTGAGGATGGTTACGGACTGATTTATGTAGCACAGTGATCGGGGTTGGTCTGGTCTGAATATAAAACTTGACAGCAACATTGACTTATGAAGTAAGAATTAACACCTTACCTCCTTTATCATCCCAGATAAACTGCGTATTTGACGATTGTTCTCAAATCCTGATCCACAAAATGTTATCAAGTTTAAAACAGCATCAGCTTGATGTCCCAGCACCTAACAATGACATTAATAAGACCTGGTAATAATTGTTATTATTGTAGTGCTATTTTATGAGAAGGAATATGATTCTAGTTGCCAGAATCAGCTATTAAAGATGACACTTAAAAATCTTGTGATTTTAACCAAACTGATTCTTAGCAATGTGTGTGTTTGAATGGTTTAGTGATGTCAACAATGACCTTTCGATTAAGATGGGTACATTATGCAAGAGTGGGTTATATATTATATTGGTAAGAACACAAACATATTACCAATATCTCATTATTAATCAAATTACACAGTCAAGTTCATACATGTATGTAACCCTTGACCCTGACATGTGTCAACTATCAACAACACTGTATCTGATGGTGCCCAGGAGCATAATTTTATACATGTCAATCATGGTTACTACTGTACTTTCCAAAAATCACTTCCAGTGACATTTATTGATACTTGTCTTGGATTAACTGACACTGAAACTTACCTTAAAATGTTCTACTGTGATATCATTTTGTCTTTTAGAAAGCTTGCTTCCATCCCTATTGGGTTTTACAATGAAAAAAAAAACATTAATGGAATTGAAGTATACTGACTGAATGGATCAAATTGATTGTCATAAAAACAGTAAACAACATTCAGCCATTCATGATATCCAGAGTGGAGAACATTGTACTTTTAATAATACATGATATATTACTACATACTTGTTCAAAAGTAAAGGTAAATGTGCAAATATCGGTGGAGTCCATCCAAAGGCTCTGTAAAACTGAAGATGTTTACCAACAGAAGTCAACCACTCCTACAAAAAATGTAAAGTTATCTTTACTTGCTGCAAAGAATAGAATATTCCTTGTGAAATGATCAGTGATAAACTAGTAATTTGAAAAAAAAAAAAATTAGGGCCAGGCGAAATTTTTGGACATGGAAGTCACTGCTGACATTTGTTTGTATATGGTACTATTGTGAGTGAAGATAAACTGGTACAAATATTGTTGAATAAATAGTTGGCTCAGAAAAAGAACTTTCATGATGTGAGATGTACCATCAGACCAGGTTGTTGAAATGCAATAAACTATTATTAACAAGCCATGCATGGCATAGTCCCATGCATGGCATAGTTAGTTATCAAATTTAAGATATATAGTTTTGTTTATAGTAATATAGCTGGAATATAATCATGTCAGGAATACGATTTTCTAACATTAAAATGATTGACATTTGTATCTGATCGTCAAACAAGCCCAATTATTAAAACAAAATGGCCGCCAGTCAGCCATTTTGAATCCAATCTGAAAAATAAA